GTCCAGAAGTGGGAAGTAACCACCATTAGCAAAAAAATTTTTAAAAAAGTTCTGATTTTGGGTTCAAATACTCTTCCCCTAAATACCAAGTAGCCGTGCTTTGTCAGTCTGAGGCCACAGATTTAGCAACAGAGGTGGTTAAATCATATACTACTGGTTCTGCTTTCCTGTTTGTTAAATTGAGTTCTTGTTTAATTCATAAATGAAACACCCCAAATTTACTGATATCTTTGCATGGAATTCTCAAGGTCTTTACTTACCCATCCCAGATTTTTTTAAAGAAACAATGAATTAGGATTCAGCAACTCCCTTCTTCTTTACCTTACACCTCCCTTCCTTTTTTCTAACATCAGGACCATACACTGGCTACAGGTCACTCTGTCTCCTTGCTCCTTTCATCTCTGTTTAAACAAGCTCTTCAGTTCTGCCCGTTGCATGGAAACAGACACTCTGTCTTGTTCAAAAGTGACGTGTGCTCTCTTGCCAATGCTGTTTGTTTCAGTCTAAACTCCTGTCAGATGCCTGACTTCTGACTCTCTCTGTTTATCTCTCTCTCTTTCTGTCACCTCATTACTCCACAGCCCAGCTCACGTTTCCAGACCTTGTTTACCATAAGCTCAGGAGTTGGGCACTCTGTCTGCCTGGGAAGAGGTGGAGAGAACATGTTATACCTGTACAACAGCTGGAATAATCACAACAAAATTCTTTTCTATATTATCTAAAAGGTTCTTTTAAACTTCATGTTTGGAATAGGCATCTTCACAATATCTTTATCAAGTGATTTCAGTCTGCAGATTATTTATTTATTGATAAAAAAAGTACAAATTACCAAAAGATCAAGAAATCATCTTTCAGACCAAGCGGCAATCTAAAAGCCAGAGAGTAATTAACTTTATTCATTGCCTCAGCATTCAGAGCTCCTCCACACTGCTTCCTCAAACATGAGGATAAGAGCAGTAACGCATATTGTCATCCTTAACTTGCCCTCTTCCTCACCACAGCCCACTGCTGAAGCAATCTATACTTGCTTTTTCTTGTCTGCATCAAAAGTGGTATTTTTCGACTTCTGCTTTCACAAGTAGTGCTGAGTGATCCACCCACTGCCCTTCATTTTATTAGCAGAAAATGTCTCCACTCTGTTTGGCTCCTATGAATTGTGGAGCAAATGCCTTCAGGCCCTGGCATGTGTCCTGGGCTGCCAGCCTGCATGCCCTTTTCTAAACACACAATCTCAACAGAGGATGGCTGAAACCTTTCAGCCCAAGTGAAGAATAGTAAAATTGTGATCGTTTCTTTCCTTTTTAAAAAAGACTAGTTCAATAGTGTATAAAAAGGAAGATGCCACAAATGTGCAGGGAGTTAATGAAGGGGGTCTTAAACAAAACACCTGTCAGTAGAAACCACATATTTAAAGACTTATCCACATGGTGAATGGTGCTTGATTTTCCAGACCAGGTGAGAGGGGTAAAGAAACAGGGGAATCCACCAATCAGGGGCCATGGCAACCACCATCTGGACAAGACACCTTGCTAAAGCTGATGAAGAGTCTGAATTCCAGACAGCAATTTCTTAAACTGGCTTAATTTCCAGTTGGCTTTAGCACAAACAAGCGGCTTAAAGCTGTCATGCAGAAACGCTCTTACAGTGTCTTGAGCAAATCACTTTGTCTCTTTACAGGAAGATAGTTAGTGTACATCTCTCAAAGGTTGTGTAATTGTTTTGTCCCAGATGTTCAATTGTTTTGTGAAAATATATTACCACTTGCAAGGAATTTGAGAATTTCTCTAACAAAATGATAGAATGCATTACTGAATGCTCATCTGCAAAACCAATTTAGTTCAATAAAATAAGGCTATACACTGGGACAAGAAGCATTGTTTCAACTAACATGCTATATGATAAAGTTATGATTGCCTTATGTTGGATACTGCAGACTAATATATATATATGTATTTGATATTGGAAACAAAGATTATCCAGTGATCAGTCTGGTGAAGGCACTGGAGTGGTGGCTCGGTACACCTAAGTTTAGGGAAAATCCACCTTTCTGTCACTAGAAAAAGAAAGAAAATATGAGAGTGGACACAGGACTGATTTGAACTCCAAGGACTGTGGTTTTGATTGTTACCGAAGTACAAACATATATCAGTACTTTTAGTACCGGGGGGAGGGGGTTGTCTACACATTGCTCAACTAAATATGTGACTAAGGAAGGAGTCTCCCCATTGATTAGACAGTTGGATAGATTATGAAGCCAGAAACACACAATGTTGTCAGTGGTGGGTTTCAAAAAATTTTACTACTGGTTCTGTGGGTGTGGCTTTGTCACAACTTGGGCACCTTATCCACCTTAACGGAATTCATCTCCCAGAATTCTTAAGCCATGCTTAGCCATGCTGGCTAGATTATTCTAGAAGTGAAGTTCCCACTTATCAAATGTACCAGGTTGGCAAAGACCAAGTTAAAAGAAACTGTCATCAGTGAATGTGATAATGAGTTTCATATACACAACTCATGATGCATTGACATTGTATCTTTCCAAATGAAGCCAACTTAAATTACATTTAGTCCTACACCAGAACACTTTAAACTTTCCTCATTTGATGGTACACTATTTCCCCCAAAATAAGACATCCCCTGATAATAAGCCCAATCGGGCTTTTGAGCACACGGCAATAAGGCCAAGCATTTATTTCAGGGTTCAAAAAAATATAAAACAGGGTCTTATTTTCGGGGAAACACGGTATTAGCTATTTGTCCTCAGAGAGAAATTATTCAGAACAAAATTTCTTTCATCTCGTAGCACCCTGGACCATCTTATGGCATGGAGGTTATTAGACACTGCATTTTGCATTGGCCTGATACCTGAAGGAAAACTAATATTTCCCTTACAGTCTTCTTTACAGTCCATATTTTCTTTCTCTCCTTTCTCCTCTTGAGAATTAGGGCTCAACAGGAAAAAGCATTGAGGTTAACATGTATTGGGGTCTAAAGCACAAGGAAGAGACAGAAGCTGTCAGACAGAAACAAGCTGATGGCTAGGTTACCCTTTTAAGCAGGGGCAGACATGGGATACTTCTCGAGAAGGTGTAAATCCTTCATGAAGTACCTAATTGTGCAAAACTCTATAGATGGGGACATTTATTACTGACCCCAGCTGCTGCTCAGCTTGTTTCCTGAAGCATGAAGATTGATGGCACCAATGATTCTCATCTGAGCTATTGTCACTGCAGATGCCATCTGTGTTCAAAACTTCCTCTGCCTTTAAGTACTGTCTCGCACTGGTGAGTTCCACAGGTTAATTATATACAGCATCAGGGAATGCATTTAAGTGAAGGCAAACATTATTTGGGATAATGATTCCAAGTGTGCATGTGTGGGTGCACACATACACATGCCTATAGCCTCCTTTTACAGTTAAGATACATAAATGGAAGGATAGATTTAAGAGGCTATCTTTGCTAGATTTGCCTTTTCTGATAAAAGTAAAGGATATTAAAGAATGTTTATTTCTTCTTTCTTCTATCACTTCAATCAACTATATTGGAGGCATGGATAATTTATACCCCCGTATAGTTTTATAACCCTCAGAATGCTACAAATCACATAACATTTTTTAAAAAAACATACAAATTTTCAACAGGCCAATTTTTCACATTGAAAATGTATCAAACCTCCATATTGTTTAGCACACCTATTTCATATCTTAATCCTTTCTCCAAAGGGAAGATATAGGCTGAGCATTTTTTTCCCTACACAATGGAAACAATATTATGATCTTTGCAGGCTAAGGGAAAAAAATTAAACTGCAGTTAATATTGTCCATAGTGATAGCAACAATAAATACAATATTTCCAATACTAGAAAGGGGTAGGGAACATTACATAAATTGCAAAAATACATAATTCATAAATGAAAAGAAATTTGGAGAAAACTGTCATCCACTTGGCTAGTTCATATGGAATTCAAGAATCCAATGTCTAACTAATTGAATGTTTCATAAGCACTTCTTCAAAATAATTGCCACACAGATGTTTGCGTAACCCTATACAAGTGAGTATAATAAATATATAAACATAATATTTGTTGCCTCTGAGTGATACCTAGTGTACAACATCAAGTAAAACCATATCATATTATAAGCTCTTGTTTAGAAATATCTAGCAATTTCCACATTGATTGGGAGAGGCATTGAGTAAACATGACAATTTTTTTTCTGTGGATTTTAATGGCCCAACCAATCAGCACCCGTCTCAGTAAAGGACTTTCTGCTCATTGAGCACTGCAGTATTTAGACCCCTAGTGAAATAGAGCCTACAAAGTAATTAATTGAATTACACTGCCGAGATTGTAGGCATTATGAAGACAGACTTTACTAAGGCCACAAGCACAAACACATCTGTGACAGGAGATGGTTCATCTCTATCATTCTGCAGGACGATTCCAAAAAGCAGGACGCAATTTCCTTTCAGATCAGGAAAACAGAGGCTTGACTGAATAAGAAACAGTTGTAATGTAATGTAGATTACATTGTACATTGCATTGTAATCTAATGTAAAGGTAATGGATTTACAGTGTTAGCTATTAAAAGCATCATAGAAATTTTTTTATAGCTCTGACACTAACATTTATGGCTTAGGGAGGCAATCTCCAATATGGTTGGACTCATTGCCATATTTAGTAAATGAGGAGGAACATATTATGTTTTCTAAAACTCATTTTAGAAATGACTAGCCCTGATGATGTTACCTAGTTTGGGTAATGAAACGTCTACAAGAAAACAGCGAAGTTCAGAGAGCACCAAGGACCCTTTACTTATTTTAGAGCTAACCAGCATGTATTTATATATGAATACATATTCAGAGACATCTATGCAGTTACTGTGTAAATACTATTTCCACATGTATCCTTAAACAAATACTTAAATGTCAAAAAAAATGCATGCAGAAAAATCCTTGTAGTTCCTACACTGTTCTTTTATACACAACAAACTTAGCACATCTGTACACACTTCTTTATTTAAAAGAACATATGAAAAAATAACATAGGCTGATGTCCAAGCATATTGCATTGTTGATTTTTAAAAAATTCCTTCTCACCCCTATGGGGAGTATGTGCTTTCTCAATCTCAGGTCTTCTACCAGAGGCCTGGGATTTTGAGGGTTCTGTTCAGTATCTTAAGGCTACTCCTAACACTGCACTCTTCTGGAAAGAGAGCTCTGATGTCATTCCTGGGATAGAGATAGAAATAGAGACAGAGATACAGCTATAGAGAAATATACACAAATACGTGCACACGCACATCATTTAAAAACATGGGTAAAGGCACATTTTGTGAGAGATAAACTCCCTTTGTGGATTTTTGAATTCACACAAAAAATATCCTGACAAGATCTGCCTAAAATTTGGGTCAAAGGTATAATCCATTAGAAAACACATGCTTTTTAAAAAAATATATCATGTTTGTGTAGGGCAAAGAACATGGAAGGAATCAAAAGTAGCATAATGGTTTATTCCTATAAGACTATTATTTGGATTTCAGGTGAGCAAATGGAACCTACAGAAGCATGTTATAGTCAATCTTTTAAACGGGGATTGTAGGGATTTATGACATAGCCCATAAAGCTGATCTAAAAAAACCAGTAACTACAAGATGGAACTGTAAACTGATTTATTACATGCTTATGTAATTGAAGAGCAAGATTGTAGATACAGCAAATGCATAATTACTTGATTATTTGATAAAGTACATACAATGTCTGTGAAAGGTTTCAAATGGCTGAGCTGCTTTGACAGAAATCTGTGTGAAGCACTTCTTCAATGCTGCTTTTTAAAGCAACATGGCCTTTTGCTTCTAAAGGCAAAGGGGCCACATTATTTTGCCTCATTTGTGAGGCCTTCTTAAGGTAGCAGTCCCCAATCTTTATGGCTTGGTGGCCTGATAGGGAGGCAGAGGGGAACCAGCCTGTGTGAGTGGTGGCCTGGTGGACTCATGCACGCGCTGGCCCACCACTTGTGTAAGTCAAGCTGTGCACATACGCACCGGCCCACTGCTCATGCAAGTCAAGCTACACGCATGCGCACCAGTCCGCCACTCACACAAGCTGAACTGTGTGCATGCATGTGAACTGGCCAGCCACTTGCATGGCCCTGTTCCAAACAGGCCACAGCCCAGGAGTGGGCTGCAGCTCGAGGGTTGGTGACCCCTGCCTTAAGGAGATCCAAAAAAACAGAAGAGGTGCATAGAATATCATGTGAATCAATTGTATCTGCCATCTACAGTACCTACCTTCCACCATCTAAGTCTTGTAGCTCTAACAAAGCATTCATTTTCATCCAAGTACATGTGTAGAAGCCAACCCTTTGGGACAGCATTTACAAACCTTTGGTATGTACTTCTTTTTTATATATGAATACTTCATATTCTGTAAAATAGCTTGTAGAATTGGTAGTATTATAGTTATCTTGAGTACAAAACAGTTTGTGCTTTGTCTTCCATCTTTAACTGGCTCCCAGAGATGGGATATTTCAATTAGCAATGGACAATTTGCCCATTCTATGAAAATTGAAGAGCGGGCTACTTGGCTGATTGAACCTAGACCCTAGCCTGAGAGGTCGCTGTTGATTGGCTGACTGTATTAACAATTATGTTTATGACATAGTTCCAGGCATATCATTCACTGTTCAAGATATTCTCCTAATGCTAAGTGACCGCCTAAGTCTTGAATGCCATGAAAGAAGCAGCTGATGCTAATATACAAGTACTACACCATATGCAGGTAATAATCCTTGATGAAATGGTATTACTGCTAAAATAGCAGCAGAGAATTGGAAACATTTAGACAATCAACCCCTGCACGGAAGAAAAATCCAAATTACATCCTTGCCTGATCATTGCCCTTTCCAGCAAATATATCTTATCACCTTTAATAATTGGTTCTACTATAAAATTGTTATTGTTATTGGAAAGTTTTTCCTAGTATTCAATCAGAAGCTGCTTCCTTTAATCATATGACCATTATTTTACATCTTGAATACAGACAGAATAAAAAAAATGTTCTTGTATGTGACAACCCTTCCAGTATATGAAAGAATGCTATCATAGCCTCCCTTTGTCACCTTTCTCAAAATAAATAATTCCAATATACGTTTCATATACATTACTAACAAATCAGTTCTTTTACATCCTATAACTGCAGATTTTTTAATGTGAAAAACTTTCTATTCCTCTTGGGCAACAGGGGGTTCAATACATTGAAAAAACAAGATTTTGAGTCATTTGTCCTTTAAACCAGAGTTCCCCAATCTTTTCAGCTTTGCAGACCTGTGTGTGGAGGGGAGGATGGATGGTTCCATGCAAATGGAACACGCATGCATGCACTCACCCACTGCTCACAAGAGTGGGGATGCGTGCATGCATCTGCACACGCATGCATCAGCCAGTTCCACGGCCAAGTTCTGAAAGGTTCAAGGCCCAGTAGTGGGCTGCAGCCCAGGGGTTGGGACAGCTGTTTTAAACTACTTATCCAGTTCTGTATTACCTGCAAATTTGATAACCAATCCCTCTCCTTCTTTATCCAATTTATTAATAAGAATGCTAAAGTGAATCAGTCCCAAGAATTGAACTCTATAACCTCAGTCCAATTTATTGAGAAATCATGATGAGTATTCTTTAAGTACCGTTTTCAAGCCAACTGCAGAGTCAGCTAATAGAAGAATCAACTGGATGACATGTTTAAGTGCATTTCTATATGTTGACACAAATTATTTCACTAAGCTATGTTATCTATATTTTTGAAACTTTTGACAACTATTTTCCTGATTGATTATATTCTTACTATGATAGATAAGATGAAGTTGTGCTTGGTAGGTAGAACACTTTGCTTGGGAACCTTACTCATATTGAATGCCTAATAAACAATGTAGCAAGTACATACTACTTCACAAACAATTCTAGAATCATTGGGAGTGTCATTTTCAAATGTGCAGGCAAAGCAAAATTAACAGAAGAGTCAGCATACAAAACAACTGATACACAGCAGTATAACCACATACAGTTGTGTAATGCAGAACTACTCTAGCAGGCATTCAGTGTCAAGTGCTATTAGAGTCCTTTGGAGAGAAGGGGGTAAATATGGATGGATAGGTGTATGGACAAACAGCAAGCTGTCCTTAATAATTCCAATAAGAAACAATGAATGCAAATGATACTTGGTCCATCTTTATGTACTTGATATAGCTGCAATATAACAGAACTTTAATAATACCTCCCCAACTGTGCTTAAAAATATCCCACACTGCTAAAATTAGCCATTGGAAATGGCAATTTCTTCTTTATTATACCATGATATCCTAGGAAAACACATGAATATGTTTTAATATGTTTATTGTTTGTGATGTCACTAGTGACTGCTAATGAACAGAAGTTTTCTAATTGCAATTTATTCAAATTATTTTTAAATACTTTTGAAGGATTTGGCTTGGACCTTGTCTGGCTGCAACTACACCAAAGGGCACAACTGTTGCATTACAACATTTTCGCTGCAAGCAGAAGTTGCTTACTGTATTGCTCTGAATGGTTGAGATGAAAGCAGTGGTAGGATTCAAATTTTTACTACTGGTTCTATAGGTGTGGCTTGGTGGGTGTGGCATGGTTTGGTGGGTGTGGCAGGGGAAGGATACTGTAAAATGTCCATTCCCACCCCACTCCAGGGGAAGGTTACTGCAAAATCCCCATTTCCTCCCGATCAACTGCAACTCAGGAGGCAGAGAATAGATGGGGGCAGGGCCTGTCAAAGGTAGTATTTACCAGTTCTCCAAATTACTCAAAATTTCCATTACAGGTTCTACAGAACTGGTCAGAACCTGCTGAATACCACCTCTGGATGACAGGTAGCATTTTCTATTGGTGGAATCTTCACTTATTTGACAATCTTCTTTTGGGACAGCCTTCGCTTTCATTTTTATACATATGGTAAATTGAGCAAGTAAGTAATTGGGGAAATAGGAGGGAGATGGGTGGTCAAGATTTATGTTATGTTATGTTATGTTATGTTATGTTATGTTATGTTATGTTATGTTATGTTATGTTATGTTATGTTATGTTATGTTATGTTATGTTATGTTAGTGTGTGTGTGTGTGTGTGTGTGTGTGTGTGTGTGTGTGTGTGTAATATATAAAATTAAAATAAAATGACAACTTTGCTAATCCAGGCATTTCATTCTAAAAAGCAGTTTAAGGATAGATAATATAGCATTTACAAGTGAAGTGCAATCAACTCTATAGTTGATAAGTGTTCAAAATAAGGCAATTAGATGTTCATAAACTTTATAACTGCCTCTCCATTTATAGAGCTACCTAAAGGTAAGTGAAGAAATATAACAGTTGGATGATGGAGGAAACACAAATATCAGATTATGACAGTGAAGAGGATTTAGATGTACAATATTTTTATATGCATGTTTTTTTGATGTGTTAACATTATATTAGATCTGTTAGGATAGGCTATTACTAATGTATTTATTATCACTGCCTTTTGAAACATGAAGCATCATTTCAGATTAAGGTTTGCTCATATCTTCACCTATAAAACAATTATTCAAATATGTACTAATGAATGCTTATTAAGTTTTTGACTATAGTAGCTGAAATGAAAGGAACTTTAGGATTTACAAAAAATTTTGCAAAATTTGTTTGAAGCCATTGTTCAAATGCTATTTATAAAACAAAAGTGAAGAAGAACAGTTAACAGTTGAACAATAGTTTAAATGAAACCAAGCAGAGAGATACAGAGCATAAACGTATAACTAAACTGACAACTGCTTTTATAAATAAAAAATGAGGGACGTACTGGCGTATTTCTAGAGTGTTTGTGGCCATTTTGAATGTTTTTATTTTGTCACCAAAGCAGTATTTCTAAGGATGCCAACATGTTGCTTCTGAACTATGTAGGGGAACAACTTAAGGATCAATCATGCACCAGGATTGTACCTTAAATCCTAAAATTTTAGCAAGGTTTATTAGTAAGCAGATGCAGTCAAATAGCCCCCATGGATGAATGTTTCTGTTAAAAACATCATACACACCAACAAAGAAGTGCCATGAGAATGATTCTTCTCACCCAGGATTTAGGAATAACGTGTTTATGAATGCAAGAAAACAAATATAATGTGGGACCTACCATCTTCAGGTTATTCACTTGATTTATAACTTTTTCATTTTCATTTCCATTATCTGCAATATTCCTAAAGTTAAGACCTACTTAACTGAAGAGAAATGATCAAGGGAAATAAGAAAGAAAATGAAAGAACCACGTCCACAGTACCTGCTGCTGCTGAAAATGGAGGAGTTCCACTGGGCTCATTTCTCCATTAGTTTCTCCACTGGCTCCTCCCTCTCTTCCACATCCTCCTCCACCGCCACCGCCTCCTCCTCCTCCATCAGTTTGATTGTTTAGGCTGCTGACACCATTTTGACCGGAGGGAGTAGAACGTATTGTCTCTGAGGCTGATTCAACCATCATGACTTGCTAGCAGCACCTTTATAAAGAAAGAATAACAAGATATCTCAACAATGATATGAGCTGCAGGTTCTAAATTATGCTTGAGGATAACATTATAATAAGTGATGTTTCATTCCTTTGTCTTCTTTGCAAAGGACATTTGCAGTTGTATTTCAGAGAATAAGATTTATACACTGACTTTTTGAGTTTAAAATATAGTTTTTTGAACCATTTGCTAATAAAACCATTACCAATCAAATACATCACTTAGCTATTATTCCCTTTCTTAATAGTGTTCCTATGGGAAAGAAAAATTCAGGACTGTTACAGATGGAAGACAGTGATGTCAAGAGGGTCTAGGACAACTCATCATAGCCAACTCACCATGGCCAACTCACTATGACCAATTCATCATGGCCAATTCACTGTATCCAACCTGCCACAGCCAATTCACCATGGCCAACTTGCTGTGGGACAACTTACCATGGCCAACTCACCTGAGCAGGACAACTCTCCATGGGATGAGAGTTACAGTAATATCAAAGAAATAATGGAATAGGATTGTTAAAGGATGCAAAAGATGGGACAAAAATTAAAATATTTTTAAAATAATTTTAAATAATTTAATTAAATTGTGGAATTGTCCCACAGGAAGTTGTCCTATGGCTGTGGCAAGTCGTCTCACAGTAAATTGGCTGCAGAGAGTTGGCTGTGGCAAGTTGGCCATGGCAAGTTGTCCCATTCCGATGTCAAGAAACTTCTCGTATAAAGTTCTTTGACAGAGGTACAGCAAATTGTACAACAAACACGTAGGTGTGAATTGATGATGCTATCAGTTTAATCATAATATTGTGGAGTCTTTTATCTAGCTCTCCATTCATCACAAAAATTGTCTGAAGAAATGACAATTTCACCAGAAATCAAGAAGATGCTTCAAAAACTTTATCTTTGGAAAAATTCTGTCCCTTTTATGTAGTGCTAGTTAATAAATACCCAAGCAAATATCATGTGCATTGGTAAACATGAATTTTATTCCTATCTTTTCTTTTCTTTAACTTGTATAATCCTATGTCAGCAAGAAGCTATTATTATTATATTATTGTCATGCACCACCCAGAGTCGCTTTTGCTGAAATAGGTGGCTATATAAATTTGATTAATAAAATAAATTTATTACTTTATTTTATTTTTTAATTTCATATTTTTATGTTTTTCCCCTCAAAAAAAAAGATAAAACAAACCAATATCCATTTATAAGGAAATACAATATTAAGTGCAAATCCTGCACAATTTTTCAAAAGAATTTCATTCCATACTAGGGTGGATAAAAATCAATGATTTTTTTAAAAAAATCAAAAAAATCAGATTTTTTTTATTTAAATCGGATTTTTTTGATTTAAATCGGATTTATTTTAATAAAAAACTTTTGGGGTAAAAATCTATCGTAAGATAGTTTTCTATTTAAGATACATAAATAATTTAGTTTATTCAGCATGAAATGGAGCTTAGTTATGTAGCATGAGGCTTTATATTCTGCAACACTGAGACTATCGGTGGGTCAACAGTGGGTCAAAGGAGTAGCAGAGAGGACAGTTGCTCTTTAAAAATTATGATTTAAATCAAGTTGATTTAATCAAGCCTTTTTATTAGTGATTTAAATCATGATTTAAATTGTGATATAAATCAACTCGATTTAAATCAAATCCACCCTGTTCCATACCAAAGGGAAAATAGACAATATAACATTTATTATAATTAACAAGGGGATCATAAAATATTTCAGTCAAGTACACACACCAATATTCCCACTTCAGCATACTAAATTATATACATTGGGTACTAATCTGCTCTTGAATTATTTAAAACAAAGAGAAGAACTGGGTATTTTATATAGCAGTAGTATAGTACAATGACAACCACCACCTCATGAAAATTTACAGAGTAAAACCCAACTTCTCAATGCAAATTAATACAGAGACAGAGTGTTGTTCATTTGTATTGTGTTCAAGGATTGTTAACAAGAACAGGCACTAATGCACAACTACTGTTTGATATGTGCAAATTGTACAGGAACATTGCAATGAACAAGGGTATACATTCAATTTCACAGCCACTAAGATTGTTGGCTGAGCGGGTACAAAAATAACCAGGAAAATGGTTGAAGCCTGGGAAATATGCCCTTTGTCAGTCAACAGGAGTGTTGATTAACCACCAGTTATCAGGTATTTAATAGCCTTGGCAGCACAAGGAAACAAGAGCCAACAACTTAATAACCAGCCATCAACAACCCAATCAACAACTAAAAAGTCACACACAACCAGGCACCACCTAAATACTACTCATAGAATATCCCAAAGTATGCATTCTGGTGAAAGAGAAGTTCCCTGATGATGGGCTCCAGCATGAGTCTGAAACCTCAGAAAACTAAACCTCTAGACCCAGTGACTGACCCAGATTTGATTCTGCAACATTATCCTGGGAATATTTGCCTTCATTCTTTGTACAGGAACACTTCTGGACAGTATCCAGGAGCAAAACACTGATTTGAAAGAATATACACACATATCTGAAAGCACACATAATGTCTTCATAGACACTATCAGGTAGTTAGGAAACTATTATAAAAGGATCTCGAAAACCAAACTCACTCTCTCATATTACTGACACTGCAGGAAAGATGCTGGGCATAGACAGTGAAAGTAAATGAATAAAGCTGGAACATAATCTATCATAAAAATGTTGCTACAGCTATCTAATTCAAAGTTTTCATTAGAGACAAGCAATGCTATATTAAAAATGTTAGGTTAAAAGCTGTGAGAAACTGTTCCAATAGTTATATGTAACTATCACTGTGCTAGTGAAGACAGGAACTGCATGTCAACACAATTGAAGAGCAGAATAGTTAGGAAAGCTGAGGGTTTACAATTTCTAGACAAAATCTTTGTGAAGACAAAGAATCAAGAGAGAGAGAAAAAACATACACACACACAATTATGAACAAAGATACATGAATCTTCCAGACACAGGACATAAAGTTATTCATTTATTTCTTAAATATGTATCTCACTTTCCCTCAATGAACTCAAAGCTGCTTACTCAGCATTCTCTGTTCCAATTCCTCTGTCCTCAAGGATCAATTCTATTCAGTGAGCTGGGCTGAGAGAATTGTGACATGTCCAAACTCACCAAAGAGTTTCCATGGCTGAAAGCAAACTTGAGTCTGGATCTTCCCAGTCACAGTCCAACATTTGACCATTATACCACAATGGCTCTCAAAAATTGCAAGACTACATAAATAGCGTAAAGAGGTCAATGGTGGGAAAGATTGCTCACTTCTTCAAAACCATTAGCACCATGTGAGTTCATTATTAGGAAAGACAGTCATACTTGAATTCTCCGATATAGTAACAGAGAGTAATTCTACTCCCACCCTTTATAGAAAGGTTCAGAATAGCCTCCAATTTTAATTTTCAACATTAAATAATGCCAATACGGTTTTATGTATTTTCCCATTAAAAACTTTTTAAATTGTAAAAGGATAATCTCCATTACAACTTTTAAAAACTAGGAAGGAGTGGGAGGAATGGAGGCATTCCTACTTCTATCTGTCAGTCCTTCCTCTCAATACATTAGGAGTTAGAATGAAGAGAAACAAAAAGCAAACTTACTTGCCCTCATGCTGCCAGCACCTCATGGCAAAATTAGAATAATATCAATTCCCAATCATCCATTCCTTGTCTCACTTAGCTCTGTACACAGACAACAATCTTCATTATTGCAAGATGCATAAGGTTTTTCTGTTCTCCACTGCTTGGGATGGGGCAATACACACTGCTTAGTTTGAATGCATGGTCTTAGGAAAGATAAAGATAAAGCTTTCCTAGATGGCTGGATAATAACAGTTTAACATTTCTTCCACTCTCCTCTCAGCAAAGCAAAAATACCCAGATCCTCAAATGCAAAACACAGTGCAGAAGATTTTGGAAATTTTACTTTTATTTCTCCTGGATATTCAGACTAATAATTTTGAAAGTAATTTGCATGGAGTTTTTCCCTCAGCTCAAACCACAGTCAGTATCATGAGATGAACAAGAATCTAAAATGGTTACTTGCTGAGTAAATTGCCAGCAACACTTGTCTATCATAAGAACTGTCTCTGGATAGTCCCAGCAGCTGGTATCAGTATGCCTTTAATATCTGAAGGCTGGAAGAGTAGAGAGCTTCAAAGAAGTCCTTCCAAGGTACTGCTGGGCTGCTGTTTATGTTTCAAAGTTGAAACTCTTGAAGGTGTATTGTAATCATGATCAGTATTTCCTCTGCCACTACTAAAATGAATTGTTCATCTACAAAGTAAAAGCAGATTCAAATATGTATTCAAAGTGTTTCAGTAATCTAGCAAATTGAAATTTAAAGAGAAGAGAAAATTTGTAGCTCAGGGCTGAAACTGTGGGGTCCTCAGTGCTCTCTGAGCTTCCTTGTTTTCTTGCAAACATTTCATTACTCAGCTAGGTAATATCTTCTGAGGAGGAAATGCCAACTGCTTTAAATTGATTATCACCAATTTTGAGTGATAATCAAGGAGTAATTTCTGCTATTGTAATTACATTCAGAAATCTAGAATCAAACTAATGGTAATGAAAAACAAACAAACAGACACACTGGGATTTTTCACTTTCTTCCTCTATAAAGAAAACACTACTCATTCTTCCTTCAAGACTGCTGCTTTCTAGATCAAATGAAGCACAAAGCACACACTTGGAACTGATCAGACAAGTAGTCAGCAAGTTTGAAAGCAAAAGGGACAGAAGAGGGGTGTTTTGTTTTTTTACTACCTTTTTCTTTACTGCGTGTGGATTTTGCTTTTGCTTTTTTGGCACGATAGACTGACAAACTGGGAACAACATAATTGCTGAAATGTGGCATGTAATAATAGCTATTCAGAAGCGATCATTCATATTAAACAGGGTGAAGCAAGCTTCTCATTTGCATGTTTGAGATTATATGCATTTCAAAAGTCATTTCCACAGGATGTGAGAATGACATTAATTCCCATGTGGAGTTGTCGATTCCCTCCTGTAGCCCCTCACACTATCAAGTACACACAAAGTGACACAGAATGACATACTTGTACCAGGGAATTCAAGGACAAAACGTTACCCTGACTTGGTTTTAGGGGAAAATATACATTTCTAGTTAACAATATTATGCTAGATAAAGAATAAGATGAAATCAAATAAAAAAATCTTGGAACACAGAAGTTACAA